GCCACCCTACCCGCGGGGACTCGAACGCCTTGTCACCAACCTCCCAGCTCCTGCCAACGTGGTCCGCTGACGGACCCCAGCCGGACTGTCGGGGACTCGCCCGTCAGGCAGTGCCAGGAGCAGTCCCGCGTGGGTCCTCGTGCCTCGGGTCAAGAGGCACCCGGAACTGTTAGTGGGGCGGGGTTTGGAGAGAGGAGACCAAGAAGGGGCGGGTCCAGGGAGGAGGTGGAGTCTTGTGGGCGGGGCCAAGAGGAGGCCTACACCGGGAGCGAGGACTCCTGGCGCGTGCAGGCGGGGAAGCCCCAAGACCATAGGTTCGAGTCCCGACCTCTCAAGATGACAAAGAGCAGGAGCTGGATAGAGACTAAAAAGCCTCAGATGTTGGGCTGACCTTCTATGAGAGTCACCATCATGCTGCACCATCCGCCAATGAATAGTTATGTACTTCAGGGATTAAGCTTTAAAAAAATCTTGGATGACTCTTTTAGTTTCCATTCAACCCATTTTATAGATGGGGAAACTGAGGCTCAGAGAGGGGAAAGTCACTTTAACACTCCTCCCTCGATCCCAAAGAGGTAGCTGCAATTTGAACTGGGTGGTCCAGCTTTGTTCTGTGGGTGCTGGGGATCCATGGGAGGGATCAATGTGGGACTGGCTGTTAAGGGTAGTTGGGTAGGATGAGTCAGGGGATAGGACAGGAGGCTTGGAGATCTGGAGAACCCCAAAGGGCTGCTCCAAGCTCTCCCAGCCCATCAGAGGATAGTACTTCATATTTTAAACTAATTCTTTAAATCTTTATCTTAAAATATAGCTTCATAACACCACCCCAAATGCTGGCATTGTGTGCTCTACTTGTGCTTGGTACCAAGGTGCCAGGTGGGGTGGTCTTCCAAAGGATTCCTTCTACAATCCCTTATCCTCAAAATTGTTCTATTTTTTCCTTGATCAGTACTATAGAGCAGTGGTTCTCAACCTGTGGGTCGCAACCCCTCTGGCAGTCAAACGACCTTTCACAGGGGTCGCCTAAGACCATCCTGCATATCAGATATTTACATTACGATTCATAACAGTAGCAACATGACAGTTATGAAGTAGCAATGAAAATAATTTTATGGTTGGGTCACAGCATGAGGAACTGTATTTAAAGGGCCAGAAAGTTGAGAATCACTGCTAGAGAGGCTTTACACGAAATTGCTGTCCCATATTAGATAACTTTATGCAAATTGTTAAAGAATATATACTATGAAAACAAGTTAGTACTTATATTGTAAATATATACAAAAAAATAAGTCTTCCAAAAGAAATAACAGACCATCTCTTGCCACCCTGACAACCCTGCTTGTCATGGGATATGGGTTGGACCAGTGAGGCCTGGCCCGAGATCTTCAAAATGCAGATGCATCTGTGAGAGTATTTGAATTTTAATATTTGAATGTAAGGAAAGCACCTTCTAGATTATCTGCCTGTCTGGTTTATAGGTGAGCTGAGCCATTCTGCATCTGCATCTATGATTATAACTGGGTTCCAAGGGCTCGCTCACAGACAGGTCTGATTTTCAATGCAGTGCTTCTTGAACTGGGAGTCTGGTAGAAGTATTTTTCCTTTAAATGGGGTCCGTGCATTACTCAATATGAGCCATTTTGGGGAGTGTTTGTTCTTTTGAGCTGGGCTGCAATGATATCAGAAGCTTTTATTTTTCGTTAATCTTCACCCAAGGGTATTTTTCCCATTTATTTTTAGACAGTGGAAGGGAGGAGGAGAGACACAGGGAGAAATATCAATGTGAGAGAGATTGGTTGCCTCCCGTATGGGGCCAGGGATGGAGCCTGCAACCAAGGTGCATGCCCTACCGGCTAGGATGATGTCAGAAGCTTTTAAAAGTTTTTCGAGGTGAACTGAAATCCAGGCCGCCACAGCTATTAAGGCAATTAAGACATTTGGGTCCTGGCCCTAACCGGATAGTTCAGTTGGTTTGAGAGTCATTCTGACATGCCAAGGTTGTGGGTTTGATCCCCGGTCAGGGCACAGAATCAGCCAATGATGGCATAAATAAATGGAACAACAAATTAATGTTTCTCTCAAAGCAGTCAGTAAAATAAGACATTTGGGTCCTGTTGTTATTTTAAATCTCCTGAGGGTTTATGTTTTGTTCAAAGCGGGTCCTCAAACTCCCAACCAGACCACAGGAACGCAGAGAGAGACAGAGGCGGTAGATGAGGTGGGGATGGGGACTGTGGGCTGTGGTGACAGTACCATGGCAAGAGACCCCATCAGGGATGGGAGTATTGCACTAAGCCAGGTGGTGGAGGGGGTTGGGGGTTTGAGAGGCGGCTGGCAGGGGACACACAGAAGGTTCTACCTTGTCAGCCTCAGGGTGTACCTTTCGTTTTTACAGTACGGCAAGTCAGACGCTGCCCATGTTCTCAGCGACAGCGGCCATCAGACATGAGTCAGGAGAGAAACGGGGACAATGTACAGATTTCCATCTTTGGGGGGCCGGGTGGGTTGGCCCAGACCTTCCTGGTCAGGGGTCTGAGGAAGGCCATGGGTCCACTACAGTTATAAATAAGGTCTTGCCTTCCTGCCCCCCTGCCCAGAAAAGAATGGACAAATGCCTCCCATCAGCACAGTCCTGGGACAAAGACTACAACACAAAATGGGTCTCCAAAGGGGTCTTCCTGACTTAACACGAAAACGAAATGTCATATCCAGGAGGTTTGCAAATTTCTCCTACAAGTCAGCATCCAACCACTGCATTTATTCTGTGATTCACTCAGGAGAGCCCAGGGGCCCAGCAGGCAACTCCCTTGCTCGTTTCTATACTGACCAAGGATGCCCTGGACGCAGGGCCCACTGCCCCAGGACTGTGCTGCTCCACTGGTCATCGCCACTGGGGCTCAGGATGTCTCTGGGGCCCAGCCTCTGGGCGCCTGGGTGGTGACTCCCACGTTGGTGTTTGGGTGATGCAGCTGTCCCTGTTAGTCCTCCAGAAGTCTGCCCGCTCGGCCTGCCTGCCTTCTTGGTGGGACTGGTCAGAACAGACCGGTGACTTGTGGCCAGGGTGTCTGCAGACAGTGCTGGTCTGAAATCCAGGTGAGGGTGTTCCCCAGGGTCTGGGCAAATGCTCCTTGGGCAGTAGGGAAGAATGCTGTCTTGCTTCTTGTTCGGGCTACCTGCAGGTTATTCTGGCGGATTCTCTGAGGGCCCCTTCCCCAGGCTGCACAGTCTCCCATGGCCCTGCTCAGAGCTGAGGTGCTGCCCCTGGGCAGACAGCAGGAGAGCCTTCGGGGCGCAGCCTGGTTCTCCGGGAAGAGTGGACAGCAGCCAGACCAACAGGTCCCCTCCGGCAGGCTGTCCGAGGTGGGATGGGGAGGGACCTGCATAGCAAGAACCAGCAACAGTATGTGCAGCTTGCAAAGGACTCAAAGTCAGATTCCTAGGTCAGCGAGTTACCTAGCTGTCTCAGGCTCCACCAGGGAGGCCGGGGCTGGGGAGAAATTCTTCTGAAAGATGTGGCTTCTATTCCGGGCCGGTTTCCAGCTGTTCCCATGTGGGCCTGAGCTGGCGGGGGTCCACAGAGTGGGCAGGGGGCAGCCATCACTGACGTTTCATCTCAGGGGGTGGAAGTGTGTCTAGGGGGAGGAATGACTCTGCAAAGCTGACTACAGCAGCCCCTCCGGACACAGCAGCATATCCTGGCGGTCGCCCAGGGGGGCCCTGGAATGGCTGCCCCTGTTGAAGGCTGCCCCATGAGGGCTGGACAAAAATAAAAATACAAATACTGTTTTTCATTAAAGAATTTTTTCCTTTAATCTGCACAGGTGTCTTCATCATTTAAAAATGAGAGAGAGGCTGCCCACCATCATGGGGGCCTCTTGCTGCAGAGTCTGTCCCTCTAGGCCTTGTGCCTGCCCCTGGGGAGGGCCCTGCTCCAGGACACAAGCTCTCCGGCCGGAAGTCCTGTGGCTAAGGGCCCAGCTGCCTCCTCTGAGTCGGATGTTTCGGAAATCCTTCTTTGAAAAGGTGTCTCCCATCGCTTGGGCCCTATCTTCCAGACACTAGGCGGTCCACATGGATGAGAGAGACATCCACAGCCCTGAGCTCCATCGAGAGGGGGGTTGGCCGTGTGTCCATATTCTAGTCACTGCCAGGCTATTTCTGCTCCAAGTCACCTGGGAGGCGGGGGTGGTGTGAAACATACGCTGAGAGAAGGAGCAGTCCGCAGGGTGGTGAGCCACCCCAGGCCACCAGGCGGCCTCCCCCAAGGACAGATGCCCGGCACCCGGCCCACAAACCTGAGCTGAGAGCAGCTGCTGGGCACAGGTGTGTGGCTTCCAGAGGTGCCCGGGAACCAGTGGGGACCTGGTGGCCCTTCCTTCTAGGTGCCCATCCAACACAGACAGAGGCGGACAGGGCGGTGACTGTGGACACCCAGCAGGATTTTCACCCGGAATGGCTGGACCACTGGGTCACAGGTCCCCAAAGCCAGTGAGCCTTGTTCTCTCAGCAAGACACATGCAAGCATAGCAAAGAACCAAAAAGTGCATAGAATGAAGTGTCTTCTTTTCCCATTGTGGTTTTTTTTTTGTTTTGTTTTTTGTTTTTGTAAAAAAAGCAGCTGTGTGCCGCTGTCTCTGTGCAAAGAGTAAGGTCCCAAAATAAATACATGATTGGACACTCAGGAAGGTTCACAGTATCACAGGCGCAGGTAGCTGACGGGACCGGGGTCACTGCTTTGCAGCCCGGAGCATCAGTGACCATCGCCAAGGGGAGGATGTGGGCGAGTGCGTCCAGCGGCAGCCAGGCGGCAGCTCCCGTGCTCTGGGCCGAGCTGGGCTGGCCAAGGGTATGCTCCACTCCTACGGTTGGTGATTGTAGAAATTACTGCAGAAGGCAAGAGAGGCAGGTGAGGGCGAGATGAGCCGTGGCTGGACCCCCAACCCACTGGGCCTCCCATGATGGGGCCTGGCCCCACCTTTGATGCCTCAGGCCAGGGACTCCACATGCCATGAGGGCTGGACACAGACCCCAAAATACTTACCCATGGGCCACCACACAGGAAGAGCCCAGGCCTACCCCTCCCGCCCCAGACCTGTTTCCCCCTCTGTCCTTGGGGCGCTCTCAGCCCCAAGTAGGCCAGGCTGGCAGGCCATGGGCACACTTACTGTGTCGCTCTCGCCGTCGGAGGCTGAATGGGCCTGTGCACTATAGTGGAGTGGGGAGTACACCCAGCTCCTCTCATCGGTGGGCTGGAGGGCGGGCAGGCGGCACGTGCAGGAAGGGCGCAGAGAAGAGCAGGGTGAGAGGAGGCACCAGAGAGGTGAGAGGGAGGAAGGAAGAAACAGAAATAAAAGAGGCAGATCCCCAATGCAGGACAAGTGGGCAGCTCGGCCCCCGGCTGCCCTCTCCCTGATGGGGACCTGCCCCCAACCTGGACGGGCCTTGAGATGGGCAGGACCGGGGTTGAGTGGCCTGAGCAGGCAGGGTGGGCAGCAGAAGCAGTGAGTGCAGTCGGGGCGGGGAGCAAAGATGGCAGGAGCTTGGTGCACTGTGCTGTCCTCTCTCCTCCTCCTCCTCCTCCTTCTCCGCCCACCCGTGACACCTAGCCCAGCAGCACCCAAACCCAGATCCTGCCTGCCATGCAAGCTCTGGGGGCGCTTGAAGGTGCAAGGTGGCGGGTGGCCTAGTGCTCTTCCAGCTGTGTCTGGGGAAGGGGTTCCCCATTCTGTCATCAGATTGGGGGCAGGTGTGCTTCCCTGCCAGGTCTGTTCCCATCTCAGCTGTCTTCCTCCTCCTCTCGCCCAGGAGCCCCCACTCCTGGCCTTGAGGTCCTCTACCCCGGCTCAAGCCTGTTGTGAGCACCAGGCCTGAGCACACACCTGCCCTGGCCATGTCCCCCTGGCTGTCCCCAGGCCCTAAACCTGCAGCCACAACCAACAAGCCCCCAGACCCACCTCTCCTGCACTCACTGCCCCTCAGCGCCCACTTGCTGCTTCCCCCAACCTCTGCGTCTGCTCAATACCACCTTCCCTGCAGCTCTCACAGGCCAGACCCCTGTCCCCATCTGTGGACTAGCACAAAGGCACACGGGCCAGCAGGGCAAGACACTACTGCAGGACCCTCCTTCCTTCGCACGGTTATGGCACCATACAAAACCCTGCTCATGTGCAGCAGCTCGCTCCGCCTCCGCTGCCCACCTGGGAGCCTGGAGGCCAGGGTCAGGCTGTCTGGGGGCTGCTTGTACCCAGTGCCCAGCACAGGGAAGCTGCAGGAGGGATTGACACTGACCTAGCTGCCCTGCTGGGACTCAAAATGTGAGAAAAGAGGGTCTCACTGGACCCTCTGTAGAGAGCTGGGTCTGGGGGAGGGAGGGACCCAGAAACTAGGGATGACCCCATTAGAGTTAGGTCAAGGGCACATCTTTCCTGCAGGCCTGAGGGTCCTTCTTTTTTTTTTTAAATATTTTATTGATTTTTTACAGAGAGGAAGAGAGAGGGATAGAGAGCTAGAAACATCGATCAGCTGCCTCCTGCACACCTCCCACTGGGAATGTGCCTGCAATTAAGGTACATGCCCTTGACCGGAATCGAACCCGGGACCTTTCAGTCCGCAGGCTGATGCTCCACCCACTGAGCCAAACCGGTTAGGGCCTGAGGGTCCTTCTTGCCACTCATCCAGCCTTCCTGTCCTCCCATCCAGCCTCCACACTTC